CCCTTTCACTTCACTAGTGGCTGCCACAATATTTTCCCCCGTAAAATAAATATTTCAATGTGTTGGGCTAATTTATTTATGGGCTCATTCATTCTTCGGCTGATTCATTCTTTAGCCCACTAAATCCCTTTCCTTCGCTTTCAATTGTTGCGCTTCAGCCCACAAAATGTTAGGGCCATTCGTGCACATATATATGGACCGAAAATGAGTTGGCATAGGGAACTCCCATATTCTGTCGTCTGGTCCATAAAAGTAGCCCGATAGTATGAAAATAACGCATAAAAATATCATATCACTCAAATCTATTTAATAAATCTTGAAAAAAAAATCTATTTAATAAATAGATAAGTAAAAAACATCGAAGTGCGATAAAATTAAGCATATAAAAATGTGCTAATAATTATATAAAATACACATTTTTTCAGACCAATCGTTGTTGCAATATCGGGTACTTCGTAATTGAATATTTAAATCTAGCCTCTAGTTGCATTAGACTTAGCTCGTTTTTCTTTGTTTTCGTCTTTTCTTGAGCGTTGAAGTCTTCGGGTTCGATAAAGTTCCAATTTTTAGTTAAAGTGTGCATCTTTAGGTAATTGCTCTTAATTTCTTAGGTACAAGTAATTTACAATCATCCCAAACAATATTGTTAGCATGTTTAGGACCTTTATTTTTTCTTTTTTTGTGCCTTGACTAACTAAGTGAACGAAACTCCAAAATAGTATTTCTTGAGAGGCGGCCCTAGTTGCGTTAGACTTAGTTCGTTTCTCTTTGTTTTCTTCTTTTCTCGAGTGTTGAAGAATCCGAGTTCGATAGAGTTCTAATCTTTATTCATCTTAGTTTTAGTTAATTTTGAGTTTTATTCTACATTAATTTTTTACTTTTTACGTTTTGGGCTCAATAATTATTAGGTCCATAAGATGAATAAAGCCATATTATCTACTAATTAAGTAATGGGCTCAGGGCCCAAAGGATTTTTCATGCACGGCCACCGGCACGAAGCCCATTATATCACTTCACATACACACAAATAGAAGGAAATAATAATAAAACTGAAAAAAAAGAGAAATAAACAAAAACTATCTTATATATATATATATATATATATATATTATTTCTGGTAATAATCACTCATTCATACGATACGACATTCATTTTCTTTCTTTTGTTTTTCATTTTCACTAATACATGTTGTATATATCTTTGAAAGTAAGTTGGAACATAGATTAGTTAAATAGATATAATTATTAAACCATGTTGGATATGACCAGCATGATAGAGATGTGCTCCTTCGCTAGGCTGAGTTGGGTCTTCAAAGCCGGCATGTCCAAATTCTTAAAACCGTCCGTGCATGTCTCAATGTCCGTTTCGGCAGCCGAGCCCATGGCGTTGATGCCACTGAGTTCGAACTTGGTGGTCTTGTTCCAGAGTTTCGCGCACACCTTGAGTTGGCC